TTACTACTGCAGAACATAACCCACACTATTAACTATAACCAGTCACCTACCACTACTATTAAAAAATAACCAGTCCACTACCACTACTATAATTATAACCAGTCACACCACTATAAAACTATAACCAGTAAACTACCACTACTATAGTTAACAGTCAATACCACTAATAAACTATAACCAGTACACTACGTACTATAACTTAACCAGTCACAACCACTACATAACTTAACAGTAAATACCTTACTACTGAGACACTACCATTTACTATAACTATAACCAGCACTACCATACATAAATATAAACAGCACTACCATTTACTATAACTATAACCAGTCACTCCCACTACTAAAACTAAACCAGTCACTACACCTACTATAAACAAATAACCAGTCACTCCATTACTTAAACTATAACCATCCACTACCTACTATAACTATAACCGGGCATACATTACTACGTAGGACATACCACTACTATAACTATCCCAGTCACTACCACTACTATAACTAGAACAGTCACTACCCACTATAACTATAACCGGGAAACACCTATATAACTAGAACCAGTCACTCCACTACTAAACAAACCAGAACCCATATATAAATAACCCAGTCACTACCATACTATAACTAGAACCAGCACTACCCACTACTATTAACAGTCCCATGATAGTGATACGACACTCTCATCTCAGTGACCTTGATATTTGATATGACACCCCCTAAACCTCCTAAAGTGCCCCTATTGATAGGGATATGACACCTCCTAACCTCCTCAGTGCCCCATGATGTAGTGATTACTGACAATCCTCACCTCCTCAGGACCCTTTTGATAGTGTTTAACTGACACTCCTCACCTCCTCAGTGACCCTATGATAGGGATATTTACACACCTCCTCAGTGACCCTTTTTGATAGTGATACGGGAAAAACTCCTCACCTCCTAATTGTGACCCTTATGATAGTTGAAAACTGACACTCCTAACCCCCTAAAGGGGACCCTTAGATAGTGAAACTGACACCTCCTCACCTCCTAATGTGACCCTATGATAGTGATACTGACACCTCCTCACCTCCTCAGTGACCCTATGATAGTGAAACTGACACCTCCTCACCTCCTAATGTGACCCTATGATAGTGATACTGACACCTCCTCACCTCCTCAGTGACCCTATGATAGGGATACTGACACCTCCTCACCTCCTCAGTTGCCCTATGATAGTGATACTGACACCTCCTCACCTCCTCATGTGACCCTATGATAGGGATACTGACACCTCTCACCTCCTCAGTGACCTATGTAGTGTATACTGACACTCCTCCCTAAAGTGACCCTTTATGATAGGGATATGACCCCTCCTCACCTTCTAAGTGACCCTATGATAGTGATAGGGAACCTCCTCACCTCCTCGGGTGACCCTTATGATATTTGGAAAATGACACCTCCTCAGTGCCCCTTTAGATAGTGATATGACACCTCCTCCCCTCTCAGGACCCTTATGATAGTGATACTGACACCTCCTCACCTCCTCAGTGACCCTATGATAGTGATACTGACACCTCCTCACCTCCTCAGTGACCCTATGATAGTGATACTGACACCTCCTCACCTCCTCAGTGACCCTATGATAGTGATACTGACACCTCCTCACCTCCTAATGGGGACCCTATGTTTAGGGTTACTGACACCTCCCTCACCTCCTCAGTGACCTATTGATAGTGATAAGACACCTCCTCACCTCCTCAGTGACCCTTGTATGGTGATACTGACACCTCCTCCCCTCCTAATGTGACCTATGAAGTGATAGGACTCTCCTCACCCCTCAGTGACCTAGGGACAGGTGAACGGGACACCCTCCCACCCCCTATGACCCTATGATAGGGGATACTGACACCTCCTCACCTCCTCAGTGACCCTATGATAGTGAAACTGACACCTCCTCACCTCCTAATTTGCCCCTATGACAGGGATACTGACCCCTCCTCCCCTTTCCTAATGTGACCCTATGATAGTGATACTGACACCTCCTAACCCTAAGTGGACCCTATGATAGTGGATACTGACACATCCTCACCTCCTAAGTGACCCTATGATAGTGATAAACTGACACCCCTCACCTCCTCAGTGGACCCTTGATAGTGATACTGACACCTCCTCCCCTCCTCAGGACCCTATGATAGTGAAAAACTGACACCTCCTCACCTCCTCAGTGAACCCTATGGATATGATATGACCCTCCTCACTCCTAATGGACTATGATAGTGATATGACACCCTCCTCACCTCCCAGTGACCCTATGATGTGAAAACTGACACCTCCTCCCCTCCTAATGTGCCCCTATGATGGGTGAAATGACACCTCCTCACCTCCTAATGTGCCCCTTATGATAGTGAAACGGGACACCTCCTCACTCCTCAGTGACCCTATGATAGTGATAACTGACACCTCCTCACCTCCTCAGTGACCTATGATAGTGATACAAACCTCCTCACCCCTAATGTGACCTATGATAGTGAAACGACACCTCCTCACCTCCTAATTGTGCCCCTTATGATAGGATACTGACACCTCTCACCTCCTCAGTGACCCTATGATAGTGGATACTACACCTCCTCACCCCTAATGTGACCCTATGATAGTGAAACAGACACCTCCTCACCTCCTAATGTGACCCTATGATAGTGAAACTGACACCTCCTCACCTCCTCAGTGACCCTATGATAGTGATACTGACACCTCCTCACCTCCTCAGTGACCCTTGAAAAGTGAAAACTGACACCTCCTCACCCTAATGTGACCTATGATAGTGAAAACTGACACCTCCTCACCTCCTAATGTGACCCTATGATAGGGATACTGACACCTCCTCACCTCCTCAGTGACCCTATGATAGTGATACTGACACCTCCTCACCTCCTAATGTGACCCTATGATAGTGAAACTGACACCTCCTCACCTCCTCAGTGACTTTATATAGGGAATCTGAAAACCTCTTCAGTTACCCTCAGTCTCTCTACACTCATCTCCTCTGTTCACCTGTGTCTATGAGTGTAAAATGCTAATCACGTCTACGCTACCCAAAGCTGGGCCACCTCCTCAACAGAAAAACCAATACGCTCTTGACATCTGTATTTTAAAATATGCATTTCTCATTTCAGCTTTATTTTAATCCAAGAGTTTCTCAACTTGCACCAAATAGCATTAGCTTGGTGATTATACAGTGGCTTTAAAAGGGAAGAGAAAGCAGCGAGGTAAACAGCCAACCCCAACACTCATCTCAAACTTCACAGGGGCCCAAAGGTCCTGGCTGAAAGGGAAAAAGCTTGTGGCTTATTGTTACCATATTTCCCTCCAGAAACTATGACCACTGAGGTTTTACTGAGAGGAAAGCAAAACCTTGGGAGATTGGATTTAACCGAAACCCTAGGAAGTCCCTAATCTTCTTCTTCTTTTTAGTATAAAAAAGAGGAAATGAGAAGAGAGAGAGAAGAATTAAAATTTTGGGGAAAGCGGAAGAACGGAGAGAGAGATAGAGAGCGAAAAAAAGGTAAGCAAGACAAATAAAAAGGAAAAAAATTTTAAAAAGGAAAAAAGAAAATAGAAAAAAAAATAATAAAAGGGACGCGAAGCGCGGGGGGTGGGCAGCAAGAGAAAAAGCCGGAAAGAAGATGTGAGAAGAGAAGATCAACTATTTCTCTTTTTTCTCCGATAATTTATTATTTTTTTGGGTTTGGACAGAATATAAAAAGGGGAATGGGGTTTCTAATCCAAACCCCCCAAATTTCCACTGGTATGTAGTACCCAAACCATCCAACCAACCATTGCTACTCAGAGATCTACCATGTCTTTGTCTGGGAGAGAGAGATGACACAGGTCATGAACCCACTACCGCCTAACCAATCAGAGATGACACAGGTCATGAACCCACTAACCGGCCTCACCCAACAGAGATGACACAACAACATAAAAATTAAAATAAACTCAATTAAGAGATGAAGTTAGAGCTTAATTAAGAGATGTTTGTGTATTTTGGTTGGGAGGTTTTTCCCTGAATGTATATGTTGATTCCAGCGTGTTAATGGGGAGCGTGTACATGTACTAGGTGGGGTGTTTAGCAGATACATGAAGCAGTAAGAGGCATCTGGCAATGTCCTGTAGCATTCTAGGATTAGATGAAGGAAGAGAGGGAGGGAGGGTATTTTACCCCTCTATTCTAACACTCAATTGAAGAGGAGAGTCGAATGGTTTGCTAATATAGTCCTCAGGCAATTAAGGCTCTCTAAGAACAAATGAAGTCATATGAAATCAGTGTTGTGTTTATGTAGCTAGCTACTTTAGATGTCTCAGCATGCTGTTGGAAGAGACTGAATGAAGGAGTAAATACTGTTTTGGCATCAATTAATGAGAAACTGCATCCAGGTGGGCAGAAAGCAGGTGAGAGAAAGAAACAGCAGACCAAAGCAAGATAGAAGAACGGAAAACAAATAAAAAAAGAAAGAAAAACAAAGAAAGAAAAGAAAGAACGAAACAGAAAGAAAGAAAAGAAAGGAAACAGAAAGAAAAAAAAGCAAAAAAAAGAAACAAAAAGAAAACGAACGAAAACAAAAAAGACAACGAAAGAACACACCATCCCGCATCCAAACTACTCCCCTCCCTCCTCTCCTCCCCCCTCTCCTCCCTCCATCCTCTACCTCCAGAGAATGAAATAGAAAAGGCGTGAGACTCTCTACCTCCTACCTTTTCTTCCAGAAAGGCACCCCCCAACCGGGATCGATTTTAAGCTACACTATGATTTGTATTTTTACATTTACTTTACATATGATTATATTATTACAGATTTAGCATCAGGCATGCAGCATTACAGGCAGGGTTAGGTGTAATCCCAAAGTCATACAGATCCAGAGCTGTGTTAATGATATTCATGAAATATATGGCACCCTTGAGGCCAAGCCTCTGTGTGTCTAATGATAAAGCACATACAGTATCTCCCACTGCTACGCTATGCTGCGCTACGGTAAGCTGCGCTACGGTAAGCTGCGCTATGCTATGCTGCGCTATGGTAGGGCCAGCAGCTAGGGACACAGATAATTATACTGTTAAGTACACAGTTTATCAATGCTGTCATCACTGAACCTGAATGTGGATATGATTGTTTAGTGAACATTGTATCGAATGATGAAGTATACTGTACTGTATAAGATATAACCCTCTCACGTTAGTGTATAATCCCTCTCACGTTGGTGTATAACCCTCTCACGAACTACAAATCCTGGGGTGTACTTTATTTAAACAAACCAAATAACCCTCACTCTATCTCTCTCTCCCTCTCTCTCTTCATCTCTCTCTCTCTCGCCTCTCAATTCAATTTAAGGCCTTTATTGCCAAAGCAAGTGAAGTAGATAGTAAACAAAAGTGAAATAAACAATAAATATTAACAGTAAACATTACACTCACAAAAGTTCCAAAAGAATAAAGACATTTCAAATGTCATATTATGTCTATATACAGTGTTGTAACAATGTGCAAATTGTTAAAGTACAAATGGGAAAATAAATAAACATAAATATGGGTTGTATTTACAATGGTGTTTGTTCTTCACTGGTTGCCCTTTTCTTGTGGCAACAGGTCACAAATCTTGCAGCTGTGATGGCACACTGTGGTTTTTCACCCAATAGATATGGGAGTTTATCCAAATTGGATTTGTTTTCTAATTCTTAGTGTGTCCTTTAACGTATACGCTGGGGGTCAGGAAGAAGGTGAGTTTGATAAGAAAAGGCATAAAAACAAAACAGGAGAAGCTGAACGTGACGAAACCAAGACTGCCTGAGGACTGAGGCTACTGAGGGCTAAATAAAGGGAAGGTCATCAAGGTGATGACGAGGTCCAGGTGTGCATAACGATGGGGAGCGGGTGTACGTAATGATGGTGCCAGGACCGGTGGTTAAGTAGACTGGCGACCTTGAGCTCTGGAGTGGGGGTTGACGTGACAGGTCTGTGTAATCTGAGGGAAATATGTGTCTCTAATATGGTCATACATTTGGCAGGAGGTTAGGAAATGCAGCTCAGTTTCCACCTCATTTTGTGGGCAGTGTGCACATAGCCTGTCTTCTCTTGAGAGCCAGGTCTGCCTACGGCGGCCTCTCTCAATAGCAAGGCTATGGTCACTGAGTCTGTACATAGTCAAAGCTTTCCTTAAGTTTGTGTGACACAGTGGTCAGGTATTCTGCCACTGTGTACTCTCTGTATCGGGCCAAATAGCATTCTAGTTTGCTCCGTTTTACAAATTAATTCTTTACAATGTATCAAGTAATTCTCTTTTAGTTTTCTCATGATTTGGTTGGGTCTAATTGTGTTGCTGTCCTGGGGCTCTGTGGGGTCTGTTTGTGTTTGTGAACAGAGCCCCAGGACCAGCTTGCTTAGGGGACTCTTCTCCAGGTTCATCTCTCTGTAGCTGATGGCTTTGTTATGGAAGGGTTGTGAATCGCTTCCTTTTAGGTGGTTGTAGAATTTAACGGCTCTTTCTGGATTTTGATCATTAGCGGGTATTGACCTAATTCTGTTATGCATGCTTTATTTGGTGTTTTACGTTGTACACTGAGGATATTTTTGGCGAATTCTGCATGCAGAGTCTCAATTTGGTGTTTGTTCCACTTTGTGAATTTTTGGTTGGTGAGCGGACCCCAGACCTCACAACCATAAAGGGCAATGGGTTCTATAACTGATTCAAGTATTTTTAGTCAGATCCCAATTGGTATGTCGAATCTTACGTTCCTGTTGATGGCGTAGAAGGCCTTTCTTGCCTTGTCTCTCAGATCGTTCACAGCTTTGTGGAAGTTACATGTGGCGCTTATGTTTAGGCCTGTTAAGGTATGTAAAGTATTTTTTTGTGCTCTAGGGCAACGGTGTCTCAATAAAATTTGTATTTGTGGTCCTGGCAACTGGACCTCTTTTGGAAAACAATTATTTTTGTCTTACTGAGATTTACTGTCAGGGCCCAGGTCTGGGCAGAAGATCTCTCTCTCTCTCTCTCTCTCTCTCTATACTCTCTCTACTCTCTCTCTATGTCTCGTATCTCTCTCTCTCTCTGCTCTATCTCTCTCTCTCTCTCTCTCTCGCTCTCTGTCTATCTCTTCTCTCTCTCTCTCTTTCGCTCTCTGTCTCTCTCTCTACTTTCTCTTATCTCTCTCTCTATCTCTCTCTCTCTCTATCTCTCTCTCTCTCTCTGTCCTCCTCTATGTCTCTCTGTTTCTCTCTCTGTCTCTCTCTGTTCTACTCTCTCACTCTCTCTGCTCTCTCTCTCTCTCTCTCTCTATCTCTATCCTCTCTATATCTCGGCCTCTCCCTACTCTCTCTTCATCTTCATCTACTTCTATTTCGCTATCTACTTCTCTCTCTGTTCATCTCCTTAATAATATTATCGGTAACTTTCTATTGGATATAAACCCTCAGCTGCCCTCCACCATCTTTAACACCAGACATTTACATTTTACATTTTAGTCATTTAGCAGACACTCTTATCCAGAGCCACTACAGTAGTGAGTCATTTAGCAGACACTCTTATCCAGAGCCACTACAGTAGTGAGTCATTTAGCAGACACTCTTATCCAGAGCCACTACAGTAGTGAGTCATTTAGCAGACGCTCTTATCCAGAGACTCTACAGTAGTGAGTCATTTAGCAGACGCTCTTATCCAGAGCCACTACAGTAGTGAGTCATTTAGCAGACACTCCTATCCAGAGAGACTACAGTAGTGAGTCATTTAGCAGACACTCTTATCCAGAGACTCTACAGTAGTGAGTCATTTAGCAGACGCTCTTATCCAGAGAGACTATAGTAGTGAGTCATTTAGCAGACGCTCTTATCCAGAGCCACTACAGTAGTGAGTCATTTAGCAGACACTCCTATCCAGAGAGACTACAGTAGTGAGTCATTTAGCAGACACTCCTATCCAGAGCCACTACAGTAGTGAGTCATTTAGCAGACGCTCTTATCCAGAGCCACTACAGTAGTGAGTCATTTAGCAGACGCTCTTATCCAGAGCCACTACAGTAGTGAGTCATTTAGCAGACACTCTTATCCAGAGAGACTACAGTAGTGAGTCATTTAGCAGACACTCTTATCCAGAGACTCTACAGTAGTGAGTCATTTAGCAGACGCTCTTATCCAGAGCCATTACAGTAGTGAGTCATTTAGCAGACGCTCTTATCCAGAGCCACTACAGTAGTGAGTCATTTAGCAGACACTCTTATCCAGAGCCACTATAGTAGTGAGTCATTTAGCAGACGCTCTTATCCAGAGCCACTACAGTAGTGAGTCATTTAGCAGACACTCTTATCCAGAGCCACTATAGTAGTGAGTCATTTAGCAGACACTCTGATCCAGAGCCACTACAGTAGTGAGTCATTTAGCAGACACTCTTATCCAGAGTCACTACATTAGTGAGTCATTTAGCAGACGCTCTTATCCAGAGCCACTACAGTAGTGAGTCATTTAGCAGACGCTCTTATCCAGAGCCACTACAGTAGTGAGTCATTTAGCAGACACTCTTATCCAGAGCCACTATAGTAGTGAGTCATTTAGCAGACGCTCTTATCCAGAGCCACTACAGTAGTGAGTCATTTAGCAGACACTCTTATCCAGAGCCACTATAGTAGTGAGTCATTTAGCAGACGCTCTTATCCAGAGCCACTACAGTAGTGAGTCATTTAGCAGACACTCTTATCCAGAGCCACTACAGTAGTGAGTCATTTAGCAGACACTCTTATCCAGAGCGATTTACAGTTAGCGAGTGTGGACTCCTTAAGTCACGGTACTGTGTTCATTAGTCCTGCTCTACAAATCAAGACCAGCCATTTGAATCTATTTCACCCATCCTCCCTGCTAATTGAATGTGATCTCTGTTTCTGCAGTATGCAGGTTTGCTGGTTGGATGACTGTCCATGGTGAGTGCTGCAGTAATGATGGGGATAGATGTGAGGCTACAGCAGCAACAGTTTGATTCAGGGAGGGAGGATCTACTACCTCCTTCAGACTGACAGGCTGATCTACTACCTCCTTCAGACTGACAGGCTGATCTACTACCTCCTTCAGACTGACATGGTGATCTACTACCCTCCTTCAGACTGACATGGTGATCTACTACCTCCTTCAGACTGAGAGGCTGATCTACTGCCTCCTTTAGACTGACAGGCTGATCTACTACCTCCTTCAGACTGACAGGCTGATCTACTGCCTCCTTCAGACTGACAGGGTTATCTACTACCTCCTTCAGACTGACAGGCTGATCTACTAACTCCTTTAGACTGACAGGCTGATATACTACCTCCTTCAGACTGACAGGGTGATCTACTACCTCCTTCAGACTGACAGGCTGATCTACTACCTCCTTCAGACTGACAGGCTGATCTACTATCTCCTTCAGACTGACAGGGTGATCTACTACCTCAGGCTGATTTACTACCTCCTTCAGACTGAAAGGCTGATCTACTACATCCTTCAGACTGACAGGCTGATCTACTACCTCCTTTAGACTGACAGGCCGATCAACTACCTCCTTCAGACTGACAGGGTGATCTACTACCTCCTTCAGACTGACAGGCTGATCTACTATCTCCTTCAGACTGACAGGGTGATCTACTACCTCTATCAGACTGACAGGGTGATCTACTCCCTCCTTCAGACTGAAAGGCTGATCTACTACCTCCTTCAGACTGACAGGCATATCTACTGCCTCCTTCAAACTGACAGGGTGATATACTACCTCCTTCAGACTAACAGGCTGATCTACTGCCTCCTTCAGACTGACAGGGTGATATACTACCTCCTTCAGACTAACAGGGAGATTTACTACCTCATTCAGACTGACATGGTGATTTACTACCTCCTTCAGCCTGACAGGCTGATCTACTATCTCCAAACTGACAGGCTGATCTACTACCCTACTTCAGACTGACAGGGTGATCTAATACCTCCTTTAGACTGAGTGGCTGATCTACTACCTCCTTCAGACTGACAGGGTGATCTACTACCTCCTTCAGAATGACAGGGTGATTTACTGCCTCCTTCAGACTGACAGGCTGATTTACTACCTCCTTCAGACTGACAGGCTGATCTACTACCTCCTTTAGACTGACAGGGTGATCTACTACCTCCTTCAGACTAACAGGGTGATCTACTACCTCCTTCAGACTGACAGGCTGATCTACTATCTCCTTCAGACTAACAGGGTGATCTACTACCTCTTTCAGACTGACAGGGTGATCTACTACCTCCTTCAGACTGACAGGCTGATCTACTATCTCCTGCAGACTGACAGGGTTACCTACTACCTTTTTCAGACTGACAGGGTGATCTACTCCCTCCTTCAAACTGACAGGCTGATCTACTACCTCCTTCAGACTGACAGGCTGATCTACTACCTACTTCAGACTGACAGGCTGATCTTCTACCTCCTTCAGACTGACAGGCTGATCTATTACCTCCTTCAGACTGACAGGGTTATCTACTACCTCTTTCAGACTGAAAGGATGATCTACTACTTCCTTCTGACTGACAGGCTGATCTACTTCCTCCTTCAGACTGACAGGCTGATCTAATACCTCATTCAGACTGACAGGCTGATCTACATCCTCCTTCAGACTGACAGGCTGATCTTCTACCTCCTTCAGACTGACAACGTGATCTACTGCCTCCTTCAGACTGACATGGTGATTTACTACCTCCTTCAGACTGACAGGCTGATCTACTTCCTCCTTCAGACTGACAGGCTGATCTAATACCTCATTCAGACTGACAGGCTGATCTACATCCTCCTTCAGACTGACAGGCTGATCTTCTACCTCATTAAGACTGACAGGCTGATCTACTACTTCCTTCAGACTGACATGGTGATTTACTGCCTCCTTCAGACTGACAGGGTGATCTACTACCTCCTTCAGACTGACAGGCAGATCCAATACCTCCTTCAGACTGACAGGCTGATCTACTGCCTCCTTCAGACTGACAGGGTTACCTACTACTTTCTTCAGACTGACAGGCTGATATACTGCCTCCTTCAGACTGACGGGGTAATCTACTACCTCCTTCAGACTGACAGGGTTATCCAACACTGCCTTCAGACTGACAGGGTGATCTATTGGCATCTTCAGGCTGATCTACTACCTCCTTCAGACTGACATCGTGATCTATTACCTCCTTCAGACTGACAGGGTGATTTACTACCTCCTTCAGCCTGACAGGCTGATATACTACCTCCTTCAGCCTGACAGGCTGATCTACTACCTCCAAACTGACAGGCTGATCTACTACCCTACTTCAGACTGACAGGGTGATATTATACCTCCTTTAGACTGAGTGGCTGATCTACTACCTCCTTCAGACTGACAGGGTGATCTACTACCTCCTTCAGAATGACAGGGTGATTTACTGCATCCTTCAGACTGACAGGCTGATTTACTACCTCCTTCAGACTGACAGGCTGATCTACTACCTCCTTTAGACTGACAGGGTGATCTACTACCTCCTTCAGACTAACAGGGTGATCTACTACCTCCTTCAGACTGACAGGCTGATCTACTATCTCCTGCAGACTGACAGGGTTATCTACTACCTCTTTCAGACTGACAGGGTGATCTACTCCAACCTTCAAACTGACAGGCTGATCTACTACCTCCTTCAGACTGACAGGCTGATCTACTACCTCCTTCAGACTGAGAGGCTGATCTTCTACCTCCTTCAGACTGACAGGCTGATTTATTACCTCCTTCAGACTGACAGGGTTATCTACTACCTCTTTCAGACTGACAGGATGATCTACTACTTCCTTCTGACTGACAGGCTGATCTACTTCCTTCTTCAGATTGACAGGCTGATCTAATACATCACTCAGACTGACAGGCTGATCTACATCCTCCTTCAGACTGACATGCTGATCTACTACCTCCTTCAGACTGAGAGGCTGATCTTCTACCTCTTTCAGACTGACAGGATGATCTACTACTTCCTTCTGACTGACAGGCTGATCTACTTCCTCCTTCAGATTGACAGGCTGATCTAATACCTCATTCAGACTGACAGGCTGATCTACATCCTCCTTCAGACTGACAGGCTGATCTTCTACCTCCTTCAGACTGACAACGTGATCTACTGCCTCCTTCAGACTGACATGGTGATTTACTACCTCCTTCAGACTGACAGGGTGATCCAATACCTCCTTCAGACTGACAGGGTGATCCAATACCTCCTTCAGACTGAAAGGCTTATCTACTACCTCATTAAGACTGACAGGCTTATCTACTGCCTCCTTCAGACTGACAGGGTTACCTACTACTTCCTTCAGACTGACAGGCTGATATACTGCCTCCTTCAGACTGACAGGGTGATCTACTACCTCCTTCAGACTGACAGGGTGATCTATTGCCATCTTCAGGCTGATCTACTACCTCCTTCAGACTGACATCGTGATCTACTACCTCCTTCAGACTGACATTGTGATCTACTTCCTCCTTCAGACTGACATCGTGATCTATTACCTCCTTCAGACTGACATCGTGATCTATTACCTCCTTCAGACTGACAGGGTGATTTACTACCTCCTTCAGACTGACAGGGTGATTTACTACCTCCTTCAGACTGACAGGCTGATCTACTACCTCCTTCAGACTGACAGGCTGATCTATTACCTCCTTCAGACTGACAGGCTGATCTACTACCTTCTTCAGACTGACAGGCTTATCTACTTCCTACTTCAAACTTACAGTGTGATCTACCAACTCTTTCAGACTGACAGGCAGATCTACCACCTCCTTCAGACTGACAGGCTGATATTCTTCCTCCTTCAGACTGACACGCTGACCTACAAACTCCTTCAGACTGACAGGTTGATCTACTTCCTCCTTCAGACTGACATCGTTACCTACTACCTCCTTCAGACTGACAGGGTTTTCTATTACCTCCTTCAGACTGACAGGCTGATCTACTGCCTCCTTCAGACTGACAGGGTGATCTACTGCCTCCTTCAGACTGACAGGGTGATCTACTACCTCTTTCAGACGGACTGAATCTACTTTCCTTCTGACTGACAGGTGATTACTTCCTCCTTCAGATGAAGGCTGATCTAATACCCCATTCACTGACAGGCTGATCTAAGCTCCTACTATGCACTGGCTGATCTCTACCCCTTGACTACAAGTGATCTATCCTCCTTCAGACTGACATTGATTCTCCTCTAGACTGACCGGTGATCAATACCTCCTTCAGACTGACAGGTGACATACCTCCTTCAGACTGAAGGTTACTACTATTTAAGACTGACCAGATGATCTATCTCTCCTCAGACGACAGGGTTCTACTACTCCTTCAGACTGACAGGCTGATATACCTCCTTCAGACTGACAGGCGTATCTCTACTACCTTCAGACTGCAGGTGTGATATCACTCAGCATCTACACTGACTCTTCATACTCCAGCTGAGATCTACTACTCCTTCATGACATCGTGATCAACTCCTTCAGACTGACGTGATCTACTACTCCTTCAGATGAAGGGTGATTTACTACCTCCTTCAGACTGACAGGGTGATTCTATCCTCCTTCAGACTGACAGGTGATTACTCCTCACTTCGACTGACAGGGTTTTCTATACCTCCTTCAGCAGTGACTACCTCCTTCGACTGACAGGCTTACTCCTTCAGACTTCAGGTGATCTACTCCACCTTCAGACTGAAGGAGTCTACACCTCTTCAGACTGACGGATCTGATATCTTCCTTCCTGCAGACTGACACCCCTCGACTACAGCCTGTCAGACTGACAAGGGCAGTGATCTACTCCTCCTTCAGACTGAGACTTACTTACCTCCTTCAGACTGACAGGGTTGATCTACTCTCCTTCAGACGACAGGTGATCTACTGCCCTTCAGACTGACAGGGTGATCTACTGCCTCCTTCAGACTGACAGGGTGATCTACTACCTCTTTCAGACTGACAGGGATATCTACTATCTCCTTCAGACTGACAGGCTGATCTACTTCCTCCTTCAGACTGACAGGCTGATCTAATACCTCATTCAGACTGACAGGCTGATCTACATCCTCCTTCAGACTGACAGGCTGATCTACTACGTCCTTCAGACTGACAGGCTGAACTACATCCTCCTTCAGACTGACAGGCTGATCTACTACCTCCTTCAGACTGACAGGGTGTTCTACTTCCTCCTTCAGACTGACAGGCTGATCTACTGCCTCCTTCAGACTGACAGGGTGATCTACTTCCTCCTTCAGACTGACAGTGTTACCTACTACCTCCTTCAGACTGACAGGGTTTTCTATTACCGCCTTCAGACTGAAAGGCTGATCTACTGCCTCCTTCAGACTGACAGGGTGATCTACTACCTCCTTCAGACTGACAGGGTGATCTACTACCTCTTTCAGACTGACAGGGTGATCTACTACCTCCTTCAGACTGACAGGCTGATCTAATACCTCATTCAGACTGACAGGCTGATCTACATCCTCCTTCAGACTGACAGGCTGATCTACTACCTCCTTCAGACTGACAGGCTGATCTACATCCTCCTTCAGACTGACAGGCTGATCTACTACCTCCTTCAGACTGACAGGGTGTTCTACTTCCTCCTTCAGACTGACAGGCTGATCTACTGCCTCCTTCAGACTGACAGGCTGATATACTACCTCCTGACTAGCCTGGCTACAGCGCACAATGGTGTGTGTCTGTGTATGAATATTAGTGCGTACTCACAGTTGAAGTCGGAAGTTTACATACTCTTAGGTTGGAATCATTAAAACTCGTTTTTCAACCACTCCACACATTTCTTGTTAACAAACTATAGTTTTGGCAAGTCGGTTAGGACATGTACTTTGTGCATGACACAAGTCATTTTTCCAACAATTGTTTACAGACAGATTAATTCACTGTATCACAATTCCAGTTGGTCAGATGTTGACATACACTAAATTGACTGTGCCTTTAAACAGCTTGGAAAATTCCAGAAAATTATATCAAGGCTTTAGAAGCTTCTGATAGGCTAATTGACATCATTTGAGTCAATTGGAGGTGTACCTGTGGATGTATTTCAAGGCCTACCTTCAAACTCAGTACCTCTTTGCTTGACATCATGGGAAAATCCAAAGACATCAGCCAAGACCTAAGAAAATAAATTGTAGACCTCCACAAGTCTGATTCATCCTTGGGAGCAATTTCCAAATGCATGAAGGTACCACGTTCATCTGTACAAACAATACTACGCAAATATAAACACCGTGGGACCACGAAGCCGTCATACCGCTCAGGAAGGAGACGCGTTCTGTTTTCTAGAGATGAACGTACTTTGGTGCGAGAAGTGCAAGTCAATCCCAGAACAACAGCAAAGGACCTTGTGAAGATGCTGGAGGAAACAGGTACAAAGGTATCTATATCAACATCATGCTGTGGGGGTGCTTTGCTGCAGGAGGGACTGGTGCACTTCACAAAATAGATGGCATCATGTGGAAGTAAAATTATGTGGATATATTGAAGCAACATCTCAAGACATCAGTCAGGAAGTTAAAGCTTGGTCGCAAATGGGTCTTCCAAATGGACAATGACCCCAAGCATACTTCCAAAGTTGTGGCAAAATGGCTTAAGGACAACAAAGTTAAGGTATTGGAGTGGCCATCACAAAGCCCTGACCTCAATCCTATAGAAAATGTGTGGGCAGAACTGAAAAAGCGTGTGCAAGCAAGGAGGCCTACAAACCTGACTCAGTTACACCAGCTCTGTCAGGAGGAATGGGCCAAAATTCACCCAACTTATTGTGGGAAGCTTGGGGAAGGCTACCCAAAATGTTTGACCCAAGTTAAACAATTTAAAGGCAATGCTAACAAATACTAATTGAGTGTATGTAAACTTCTGACCCACTAGAAATGTGATGAAAGAAACAAAAGCTGAAGTAAATCATTCTCTCTACTATTATTCTGACATTTCACATTCTTAAAATAAAGTGGTGATCCTAACTGACCTAAAACAGGGAATTTTTAATAGGATTAAATGTCATGAATTGTGAAAAACTGAGTTTAAATGTATTTGGCTAAGGTGTATGTAAACTTCCGACTTCAACTGTACGTGTGTGGGTGTGTTTGTGTGTGTGTGTTGGGTGTGTGTGTGTGTGTGTTTGTGTGTGTGTGTTGGGTGTGTGTGTGTGTTTGTGTGTGTGTGTTGGGTGTGTGTGGGTGTGTGTGGTGTGTTGGTGTGTGTGGTGTGGTGTGTTGTGTGTGTGTGTTGTGTGTGTGTGTGGTTGTGTGTGTGTGTGTGTTGTGTTGTGTGTGTGTGTGGTTGTGTGTGTGTTGGGTTTGTGTGTGTGTTGGGTGTGTGTGGTTTGGTGGTTGTGTGTGGGTGTGTTGTGGTGTGTGTGTGGTGTGTGTGTTTGTGTGTTGGTGTGTGTGTGTGTGTTGTGTGTGTGTGTGTTGTGTGTGGTGTGTGGTGTGTTTGTGTGGTGTTGTTGTGTGTGTGTTGGTGTGTGTGTGTGTGTGTTGTGTGTGTGTGTGTTGGTGTGTTGGTGTGTGTGTGTGTGTGTGTGTGTTGTGTGTGGGTGTGTGTGTGTGTGTGTGTTGTGTGTGTGTGTGGTGTGTGTTGTGGTGTGTGTGTGTGTGTGTGTGTGTGGTGTGTGTGTTGTTGTGGTGTGTGTGTTGGTGTGTGTGTGTGTTGTGTGTGTTTGGTGGTGTCGTGTGTGTGTGTTGTGTTGGGTGTGTGTGGTGTGTAGGTTGTTCCTGTGTGTGTGTGGTTGGTCTGTTGGTGTTAGTTTGATTGTGGTGTGTGTGTTGCTTGGTTTGTTGTTGTTGGTAGTCATGATTCCTTCCAGTGGACTTCAGTGGTCTGTTGTTTAGTGCTTTAAAGTCCACAGACATCTCACTGTTACTTCAGAGGTTCTTTCATATGTGATCCCTCAAACATTAACAGCCCGTATTCATTTAATCAAGGTGTGAATCCATTGCATGAAAGTTTAGTTGATTTCTGGCTATGGTGCTCTAGTAGATTCTATAATCCCCAGGGACATTTTTGCAGG